CATCAGAGGCTTGATTTGTAGCTTTTTGGCCTGAGTGACAGGACAGATCAGGAATGCTGTCAAAATGGCCGTCAAACTCAAAGATAGTATTTAGTGACAACAGCTGGAGAGGTAAGAAATGTTCTTCCTATGGTGCCTGAGGGCATCATCATTCAGCGTCCCGCATGTCTCAGATGGTAAATGAGAGAGCTGAATGGGCTAGTATAAAGTTATAGATTTTTGCTGACAGAAGAAAACAAAATTCTGGAAAGCTGGGCATGCGGCATTGCATGGTGGACTTTTGTGACCTCCTAATGAACATTTACAGTAGCCCTGTGTCCATTGCCCCTTCTGTTTTGTGCAATTCCAGAAGACCTGAAGATTCCAGATGTTTAAAGATTACATTCATAAGGCAAATACCTACCTGACCTACCAAAAACAGGTGATCACGTGATTTTTGGCAAATTTCATTTTGTTGTGGCTAAAGTGTTGCTGGAGCTTCTGGAGTTTACAATGCCAGCTTGGCCTTCTTACTTAACTCTACAATATGTAATAATTGAAGAATGTCTTTTTGTCTCTATGTTTAATGTCACTTTTGTGGATTCCAGATGATGAGTGGTCCTTAATATTTTGTTACAAAAATAACTGAAACACTTTGTGAATGCAGTCTTCAACATGTTAATTGTGACAATGGTGACATATAGCTGTCTTGATTAAGTGGGCTGGGTATTCTGCTCTTTCTTGGAACATGTAGTTAAGATCCAGTGAAGGTATAGTAACACTTACAGAGTATACTTACAGTATACAGAGCCAGGCAAAACTTATCAGACGCTTAAACACTGTTCACATTTTATTGCTTTAAACCTGGCAATCGTGACACTTTGAACAAGTAATGTTATAAACGTACTTCATTCATTCACTCAGCAAAAACAAAAAGTAAATAATTGATATGACAGAAAATTGGAAGTGTCATGATTGTTTATGAATTCAGGCCTTTTGCTATGAAAAACCTAGATTAATTTGAATGTTCAAAATTAAAAATAAAAAAAAAACGTTTGCCTCTGACCAATAGTGGTTCTCATGATTTCAGAAAAAAAAACACCAGTCCCTGTGAGGGATCTTGGTAGGGTAGTGAGTTTAAAAACAATAATCAATAATGAAGACTATGGAGTTTTCAAAGCAAGTCAGTGATAGTCATTGAAAAGCAAAGATCAGGAGACGGGTACAAAAAATGTCAAAGTCCCTGAATCTCCCTGTGAGTACAACGAGTCATCGAGAAATGAAAGGTGCCTCATACCACCCAGACACTGCCTAGATCAGGCCAATCCTTCAAACTGAGCTGTCGGACAAGGAAGCAGGACACTGGTGAGGGATGCCAATGAAAACGAAGAGCTACAGAGTTCAGTTGCCACGATGGGAAAAAATCTGCACCAGTCAAGGACACTTCTGGTGTGGCCAGATGGCAGGAAGGACGCCATTATGAAAAATAAGCAATCTCAAAGTCCATACAGAGTTTGCAGCACCTGAGTGATCTTGCCTAAATGTGACTAAAGTTGTTGTGGTTAGATGAGACCAAACTGGAGCTTTTTTGTGGTCGAAATGTCAAGTGTTATGTTTGGTGCAATCACAACACGTCACCCAGTCAACAACCTCCCTCTGTTCAACCATGGTAGTAGCAGCATCATCCTATTGGACTACAGTTCCTCAGTAGGGATAAGATTGAAGGAAAGTGGATGGAGAAAAGTACAGGCAAATACCAGATGAAAATTTGTGTCAGTTTGCTAAAGACTTAAAATTGGGCAAACACTCACTTTTTAGCACGAAAGTGATCCAAAACACAAGGCCAGTACTACACAGGAATGGCTTTAGAATAATTAAGTGAATGTCCTTGATTGGCCCAAAGTCCTGACTGGAATCGGGGAATCTGTGGACATACTGGAAAACTGCTTTCCATAAGTAATCCCCAAGCAACATTCCATAACTTGAGCAAATCTGCCAAGAAGAATGGGCACCAAGCTGGTGCACAATGTTGATGGAGATTTACTCAAAAACACTTGAGGCTGTCATTGGAGCCAAAGGTGATTTCACCAAATATTGAGTTCACAAGTCAGAATACACCCATTCCCAGACTTATATAAGTCTTTCATTACACATATTTTTGTCACCAGATTTTTATGTACAGGTACAACCCTATCTTTGCTTTCTTGTTGTGTGCAACCCTATAAAGAATTACCATTTGTGATGTTTATAAATAAAACCATTTACTTAATAAAAAAAAAACATTTGAAAACCCTGTAAATAGAATAATTAAACAAAATGCCATACATTTAAAAAATGTGCAGTACAGTAAGTACTAAATAAACCTTGAAGAGAATTACCTTTTAATGAACTTATAAATACTGTACGGCACATTGTACTGTTCAGCAAACACCAAATAAAATGCACAGTACATTAAATGAACGTGGGTGCTTCCTTGGCATCATTACAATAGGAGTTGCTCACAATTTTCAGTGAAAAAGCGAGAGATGGTATGCAGAGGATGTGATACATGCATGAACGCAAAGCGAGATTGAATTTTAAAATAGAGCCCAGGTAGACACCGCAATGCGCTTACAGTTACTCTGCACTATTCATGTTCGGAAGTAACTTTACATAACGTATGGTAGCATAAACTGTCTGTAACCTTACGAAACGTAAACTTTCTGTAACCTGAAACTTTAATTATGGGACCTATGATGTTTTTTTTGCAGTATGTCAAGTTGAATTCTGTATGTCAGTCTTACGCAGCCCGGGAAGGGATGTACTTATTCTTAAATATGTTGGTTTTGCTCTTTAGCTTTTGCCAATATTTACTGGAACTAACCCCTGGAAGTTTTCAGTTTGAGCATACAGGTTTTGAATAAAATATTATTTTAAAAAATGTGTACATGTGTGGACATCGAACAAAAGGCTATGTACTTTTGCTGTATTTGTGAAGAAAACAAACTGAGGTTTAATGATGAAATGATTTGACTGCCTCATATATCGTCATGTTCCCTGGAATGTTTTGATTGTTAATTCAATCAACCAGATGTTTCAAGTACCCAGATCATATATTTTGAACGATAGAACATACAGTAGCTATGAAGCGATTTGCACATGGCCATAGGAAAATCTTTTGTATAGATTGGTGAATGAATGTGGTGCCTCAATCTGTATATATACCTATATTTGTGTATCCATGTTGATTCTATGGAGATTCTTTTATTATTTTTTGACAGTATGATAATCTGAAATGACCTCTCAAAGTCTGTAGGAAGTATACCTGCTGTTTCATAGTGTTTCTTATTTTGCTATTTAACCTGTGTTCCCTCAATCTTAGTTTCATTTGCATTAGCAGATTTCATCCAGGAATTCTTCTGTTCCCGAAAGAGATTTTTTTTTTCTTTTCAACAAGTAGGATTATTTTAATTGATGACTTTAGAGAACATAAGTACAATTGCATTAACCACTGTGCATTTTAAGGGAAAAACAGGATAGTATTCAATTACAGACTAGCAGAAGCTTAATATGAAGAGAACTTCCCCACAGCTGTTCTCAAGCTGTTAGTCTGTTCATTTCTTTTCCTCTAGAATGTGTGACTGGATTCCTGTTTTGTTTATATATTATATATTTATTACATTAAGTGAGAAGCATCAGAATTGTAAACCAGGTGGCTATGGCTCCTTTTTGACATTGTGTGAAAACAGTTTACAGGATGCCAACCAGACAGGCAGTTTTTGTTGATGCAACTTTTACCTTTTTGAAAGTGTTTACATTTGGATAGTTCTCAGCTTTCCTTGACATGAGTCAATTATAACGTTAGACTTTCTGTAGCAGCAATGACATTCAATTCATAATTGAGAATTCCTCAGCTTGCTTAAAAAGTTTTAAAACAAATGCTTTAAAGGAAAGGCTACAAATAGGAATTGAGCCCATCTAGGATGTTTGGTTGATGATCCAAAGATCTCCTCCAGTTTTCTTCTGAAAGAAGCCAGGATATTGGCTTCAACGTGTTGTATTCTTCTTTTGGTCTTCATTTAGCCACATGTCAAAGATTATTTTCTAGATTGTGGGTTATTGAAGCGTGCATTTGGCTCTTTCCTGTTTCTGAAAAAAATCTTAATTCTGTTTTGGCAATGTAGTTGTGTCCTTAATGTGGTGTTCTGTCCTGTAACAAATTGTTTAAAAGGTATGTTTTTCTCTAAATGTTTGAGTAATTGTACTGTTTAATTTGCTGTTACTGTAGGTGTGGCCTGAAATCCTAAGGATAGCTATTTCTCTTGCTGTAATCCATTTGGTGGGGTTTAGGACTTTTCCTAAATCAAGCTGTTTAAAACATTTAAAAAACTAGTTAAAAGCACTTAGTGATTTAATAAGTATTTTGAAGTATTTCCAAGTGATTCTGGTATCTCTGTAGCAATATTCGTCTCAATCAAAAGGTAAAAGTAAATAAGAATCTTGGTTGGAAGTTATAATTATGGTGCAATGTTGGTTTCTTTTGAAAAGACTAATGCTCCATTCCATTTATACCATTTACATTTTACACAAAGCATAAAGAATGTTTTTAAAATTCACATTCCCCAGAGTTATAGGTTTCAAGCAAACACATTTCAGCATTCAAGGATGGATACTCGAAACTCAGGTGCTCTTTTGGTTGTTATTTTTTTTCAATGCTAAAATACTGTATGTCCTGGTATATTTTCAAAAAGTTACGGTTCACTGGCCTACGATTCAACAGCCAGCCCAATAAAACTTTTATCTCGGACTACTTTTTGTGAGATTTATTGTCAGTAATAATCTCACTTTTACTGTATTCTCTTTTGTGAATCTTATTGTAACATTTTCTTATATATGATTAGAACATTACAGTTTTGTATATTTGTTTTCATGAAATTGAAGCAAAAAAATACAATTTAAAATCATGAAATCTTCTCGGGCCTGTTAATTAATTTGAGGTTTTTACCTTGCTGGGACAAGTAAAACTATTCTTAATATTTCAGGTCAAGAAACACCCCCCAACATTGCTGTTGCAGAATATTTAGAAGAGAGGAAAAAGTATGAAGATCTGCGAAAACAAAAGCTGAAAAGGGGGGCTGGTCGAGAGGCTCAGGTAAAATTGATGTTTTGACCAGATGCTGTTGTTCCACTGTCTCTGCTATACTGCAGAGCTTTATTTTTAGGGCTGTCAAGCTCATGGCAAAAAAAGATAACTTCTAAAACACTGGTTTTATTTTCATTAGATTAAATGAAGACAAAGTTCATGTTGATGTCTACGTATTTTCAAGGGTTCGTTAAATGCTTGAAATATAAATGAATGGAGTGTTAATGCACCTGCATACACTGGAATAAAATAGGTTTGGACTTAATTGAGAGTTGTAGAGGCAATATTTCTTCTGCGACGGCTGTTTATGGCTGTTAATATTAATGTTTGGCCTATGCTTTTATCCAAAGCGACTGTATTTTATGTAGAGTAATTAATCTTTCAGTATTATTTCCATGGGATGTTGGAAAAGCTCATTCCTCTTCATTGTGCAGATACATGTCTTTTCTTCAAGTCCACTCTGTTATAGGTAATATTCATGAGGACGGGAGACATTCTCCATAACTGCAATTCCAAGTGGCTTACCTATGACCTTGAACTGCATGTTTCCTTAGACACTTGCCCTTTTAAACCAATTTAAGTCCAAGCTGACTGATGCCATCAATGAAGCACCTGAGGAGGACACTGAGGAAGTACCAGAAGATGATGACAAAGGATGGTAAGTGTTCAAAATCAGACCCTGCCAACACTGCATTTTACAATAAATAAAGGCAGCTGAGTAATGAGTGAAATGTCCACAGTGCTGGTGTCATTTCTTGATTCGCGGCAGGCTGAAAATTGAACCTGGCACAGGTTGTCTGTGTACTTTTATGAGTTAAAATATCAGAGCAGCACCTTCTAAAATTTAAGTGGTGCACCTGTTGAAAAGCATAGTAATAGGGTAATCGTTATGTGGTTGTGAATAATGTTGAACCTCATCCTATCTGTGTTATGGTCAACATTCCAAATTGCTCCTCTCAGGAACTGAAAAAAAAAAATTAAAAGCAATTTAACAAAGTAATTTGTGGAATTAGGCTTTAATTTAAAGTAATACGTATTTCATCTGTGTCTTATTGTTTCTGTGTAACAGGTTTTGCATGATACTGCATATTCATCTATAATTTGAGAAAATAGGGAAGTTTCTTCCCTATTTCTATATATCTATTGAACATACATCATCTTATGGAATGTTTGATGCTCAGCTATGCAGTATTCCTTGAATTTGTACAATATATGCATCTGTCTCTGAACTTCCTGTTGAGCAAAGCTTATCTACAAGGGGCTCAGGTAGCCTTGGAGAATGTTGAAAGAAATCTGAGAAAAACAGAGGTACCTTTCTTCATTCATAAATTACTGGCATTTTGAAAGACAACATTTCAGTCTCTTGACAGTACTGACACTATTTAAACAGCACGCTCTGTTTATTTTTGTGGTGGTACAATGACCATATGTGAATAAGTCTTGTCACTCAACTGCCTAACTTAAAAAAATAACCATCCAACAAAAGGCTGGGACTGCATCTAGCAGATCAAAACACTTAATGGATTTAAACAAGGGGTGGATTTAATAGTTAAAAACCAGCAGTCTTATGTACATAAGGAGTTTCTTTTGTTTAAAATATCCTTTTGATACATAGCAAAGAAACACATTATGCTTGTTATATAAACTACTTACTGTACATGCCTATGTGTGGAATTTTTCTCTTGTTTGCAGTCATAGATTTTGTATAATAACCACAAACTCTTGTGCTGATTTCTTCTTATTTAGGTTATTACAGTTGTGACTGCAGTGAGCATTTCTGCAGTCTTATGAGTGGAAGCAGTTTGTTTTGAAAGTGCTACTCCTCCTATTATAGTGTCATGCTGTTACAGCAGAGAGCAAGTAGAAAAAGAAGAAATATTGTCTGAGATCAGTAAATCAAAAACCCACTGGCAAATCTGAGGTCACTCTCTTTTTAAAATTGCAAGCCTCCCTCTCACCTATGAGGCTGCGAGACATTTAAAAATAGCAATTTTCAATTTATGACAACATTAGTGTCTGACAGAGTAGGCTCTATCTTTGTTTTCTCTGTAAGCGCCAGAGGCTGCTAGAATATATGTGAAGGATTTTCTGAATTTTGAATGAGTTAATAAGGGATAGCTGTGGCAGCTTTGTGCCATCTCTTAATTTTATGACAATTAAAGTTCAGACAAGTTTGTTAGCTGTTTATTCTTTTTTCTATTAGGTTGGCTAAGCTTCGTTTTCTACTGTTTTTTAACTTTGAATCCACATGTGCAGTAAAAAATAAAAATGGCTATTTTCTTGGCCGTTGGTTTGGATTTTGTCTTTTATGTGCTGTATTAGAAGAAGAATGAGTTCAGGTGGTGAAAATGGAAGCTACGGGTCAAGGTTTATTCATATATGGCATGACTGCCAGATGTTCCATTGTAGATTCTAACTGGAAGTCACAGTCACAAACCGGGGCCGGTCCAGACGACAGCTGACACCTTTGCTAGTAAAATGCCAAGCATTAGCTGAAAGGAAAGCTAAATGTGTCCAAGCCTGGGGCACAGATTCTCGTTCATTCTCAACCAGTGTTGATGTAAAGTGTAGCTTTACACTTTCCTGGGTTAGTTTAAATGGTGTTCAGTAGAAACTCATTGATATCTCATCAGTTCTTCAATAGTCAAGCCATTTTAGACTTTTCCACCCATTTCCTCAACATGAGTATTGCACATCATCTTCCATCAGTATATACTTAATTGTAATTTTTTACATATTAAGAGTAGGTACGAAATTCAAAAATATTTTGAACAGAAAATTGATAACACGAGAATCCCAGTGATTCATGTGATTCCCTGATGCTTAATCTTTTTTTTTACAATGTAATGTGTGATTTTTATTGGGGGAGAAAGCATCAGAAATTATCAGGGATCTGTTCATTGCTTCGTAGATGAGAAAGATAGAGCGATATTTTTTGAGGTTGTGACTTAAAAGTCAGAAACGTCTGGAATTTTATACTTTAACTTATTTTTCTTTTTTCAGTCTGTCCTTTATTGTCTGGCTAAAATATATGCTTCAATTTGATTAACTTGTCAGTGTCCCTTTTTTTGCATTTCTTTTATAGATTGATTTATATCCAACATCCTGCAGTGAAAAGTACATCATGCTGTACTTATGATATTTTCAAGAGATTATGAGGAAACAGATTGTTTAGTCATTCAGGATTTAACAATACCAGTTGGAATGAAAAAGGGGTACAGAAAACGGTTGGAATTTTGTACGTTTTCCCTTAAAGTAAAGGTCCAATAGATAGTTTTGGTGTACTCCTTGATTGGGTTTAGCCTACTGGTATTTATTTAAAATATCTTTGATAGGGCAAAATTGGTGGTGGTACCAATGTCATTGCCAAAGACTATATTTCACCAAATAGTTTGATGGTAGAATATGTTGGTTGTCCCGAGAAAATAATGTATGTTATTTCACATTCTCAATAGTTATTCATTTAATTCTTATGTGCTGTTCATTGCTACTTTTTCTGTGTCTTTCAGAGACAGTACATTCTGTAATAGGAAATTTTGCACAAAAAAAGCCGTTGGCAAGTCTTTTTGTAACTTTTGTTAAGTCTCCAGTTTCCCAGGGGAGTAGAAAGTAAGAACATAAGACATATTACAGACAAAAGGAGGCCATTCAGGCAATTTAGCTAATTTGGTTCCTACAGTAGTACACTGCCTAGCAGATGTATTCACCCCCTGCCAATAATATCACATTTTGTTTTCAATTCTGAGGTGATTCAAGCAGGGTTTCCTGCAGGGTTTGCCTGTACTTTGCACCCTTCATTTTCCCCTCAATCCTGACATGCTTCCCCATAACACGAAGCTGGTAAAACAGTGGTTCTGTGTTGGACTGTGTTGGATTTGGTCCAGAACACTGTTTATCTACATTCACAGAATCATACATTTTTGTCTTGTCTGACCATTAAACCTTCTGCAACATGTCTGCAGTATAACTAATACTTGATTTAAGATGAATATTTTACCATAGCGACCAGGTTGAATACATATGCAATTTAGTATCTTGTCATTTAAAAAAAAATCTATTTCCATATCATCAGCACTTATCAGTTTTATCAGTTTGGATTTAAATGTAAAATCCTGCTTTAAAGTGGCATGATCACAAGCAATAAAATGTAGATATTTTGTAGGGGGATGGATAATTTTGCATGTCACTGTAACTAATTGGACCAAGAATCTCATCCTGCTGTTTCGATAAAGAAGGCGCTGGCTTTTATACAGTATCTACTTCCCCTCATTTCACAAGGCTCAAATTGAGTCCTGTGGCTTGTGTTTCACTGTCGGTTCTGAAGAAATCCATTGGGTTGACTTTGTCAGTACCTTTGAAGAAAAATACTTCAGATGCAGTCTGTCAGTGTGGGATATTCCTTTGAGCTTGGGAATGTATCAGGCTGTGCTTCTCTGGACTGATTCCAAAGCCACTATATCTTTTAAGTGACATAGTAATCAAGCTTGTGCAAAGAATTCTGCATGAGCTCTTGTTAGTGCATTGTGTGGTTTCACCATTATATCTGTTGATTTATTCTTTAATTCATATATTGATGGAAAAAAGAAATGCAACACCTCCTCCTCCACACTCTGGCCTCCCGTCTGTGTGGAACAGGCTGTAGAGTGACTCATCAGTGAAGAGGACCTGATGCCAGTGCTGACGAGTCCATCGCAGCCTCTGTCTGGCCCAAGCCAGTCGGGTATGACATCTAGGAGGTGTGAGCAGAGGGCCACTAAGAAGTCACTTTGCTCTAAGGCCAGCAACATGGAGCCTCACTGTCCTGTCACTGATGCGGTGTCTGCCGGCAGTTTCAGCAGCAGTACAGGTGGCAGATCTGAAACAATCTCTCAGATGGACCAGTGCGATGCGTCGGTCCTGCTCTGGTATGGTCAGTCGAGGGCAACCAAATCTTGGGCAGTCATCTGTCCTGCCTGCAGCATGCCAATGGCCCTCTCCTTTGCTCCTGGTGACATTCGAGGCATTCTGGAATTCATAGAAAACTGACTAAGTGTGGCCTTTTTCTTGCAGTGACCTGAACTTTGAATTAAGGCCTTTTTAAAGGTAACCTGATCAGGCATTGTTCCACTTGGACCTCGTTGGGTAAAAGTGTACCTAATAAACTTTCGTGTGATTGGCAAGTTGCAGTGGCTCACAGCACAAGCTGTATTCCTGATCAGAGGGCTTAAAACAAATCGACAACATTTTATGAAAGTCCATAAGATATAACCATAGTATTCTCATTCCAGAAAAAGTTTATTTTTTCCATCAGTATATATGTTGGAACAATGTTTTCCTTTTTAATCTTTTTTAATTTTCCATGCAGCTTCTACAGTGTTTGCTAACCTTCCTAATGTGGAATTATCTGTAAATGTGATTAGCCTGGAGCTTAGTTAAATTAACTAGGACGACTACTGGTCCTAGTACCGATACATGTGATACACCACTAAATACATCACCCCAATCTGAGCTTTCACCCCTTCTGCATTTTTGTTTTCTATCCCTTGACTTCTTCTCCATCCAGAAACATATGATATGAATATACCATAAATGTATACCATCTGTAATTACTGTTAGGAGGTACTTTACCAGATGCCTTTCGAAAATCAAAATATATCAAATCATATGCTCCTCTCGTTTCTTGTTCCGTGTTCTTATAGTGCTAGTCATTTCAAAATTTGCAAGTGGTAGAGAATAGGGTTGACTTTAATCTGTGCCAGTTGATGACTGCTCTTTTTTAGCAATCACAGCTGCTCACATTGTCATGCAGAGCTCAGAGCTGTGAAAGGCAGCTATATGAAATCAGCTGTCACAGTGCTGTTACTAATTGCCCTTTTCTGTGTGAGACCTTCACTGTGGGCTTAGCAAACGTGCAGCATGCAATGGTATGTTGACAGGTGTGTTGGAAAAGCAAAAAAGGGATTTTCTTTAAAATAACTGATACATACTTTCTGTACTTTTAGTCCTGGAGCACAGCCGTCCTGCTGAAGTGGACTCATTTCAACCGCACAGTGACCAGGCGTGCGAGATCAAAAATGCCTCCACACACACCTTTCTTGACATAGATACACAGACAGCAAGCAGCAGGTCTAAGGAGAGCAGGTATAATGAATCTCAGGATGGGATGGGAAAACACGCTGAGTGAACAGAACAAAAGTCTTGTAGAAAATGCCAGTGGGAGGTTTTGAAAAGCGGGTGCGTTTGAGTGACTTGGGAGCCCCTTGAACGGAACATGGGTTACAGCAGGTCAGACACTGGAAGTCAAGTCTGGGCCAGAAGTGTAAACTATTCCATCTGTGTCTGTGTCTACAACCCCTCTCTAAGGAACCAGACCTTTTTTTTTTCCACTCTTCAAAAGCAAAGAAAATAAACCCGAGGGTTTGAAGCCGCGTGTCATGGCAAAGCGGAGAGAACTATTAACTGATTTTGATAAGCACAAGTAGCACAGTAGGGTTTTCTGCAAGAGCTATAATTCTCCGAGATGAAACTGGGGAGCTGTCAGCGCCGAGACTGCTAGACAAATTATCAGGCCAGCCTGCCGTCACAGCGGGAGTCCTCAGGGTCTTCCAGAGTGTAGTCATGACATTCTAGATGAAGCTGTCACATATCTTATATATATATAATACACACATACACATATATATCCATTTGGCAGAGCTTGTAAGTGGTCTGCAGTTGCTCAAAATAAATGTTGGATTGTGGACCTTAACTCTTTCAAATTTGCACTGACAGGGAAGAAGGTTTAAGCTGACATGCTTGAGTTTGCTGGCGGTATTATTCTATTAAGAGTGTGAAAGAAAAACAACATGCATTAAAAGGATAGTTAACAGGCGCTTAGATTTCTCAAATTATAACGTCCAACATTATGCTCTTTAAGTCTCCTTTGCTCTTCTGCAGGTGTATAACCTTGAATTTCTAGCCTTGAGTTTAAAATACCCAGGCAAAACAACAAGAGTGCTTAGGAGAAAGCAAAATGTGAAATGTGTGTTTGGCCAGTTGATATTCGTTGTTAACCTCTTTTTCTTCAAGAATGGTTAGTCAGTAATAATGAATCATAGACCGAAGACCTAGTTTTGCCAAAAGCAAAATTGCATGTGGTTTAAGGATATCGGGTTCATGATAAGTTGTGTAATTAGCCTGATGTTTAAAACCCAGACAGAACTATTACTGTAGTGCATGCTTTCAAGGACTTTTAGGTATCTCAAAAAAACAGATGGCTTTTTTTATCAAATCTGCTAATGCTGGGGGAGAAGGGTCATTTTTCATGAAAAAGCATCAAGACTTGACTTTTTTTTACAATATTCTCCTCTTCTTTAGCTAATGTCTCATTTTGTTAACATCTTATCCATGTAGTGCTTTTTCCCCTCTCCTGAGCTGAGTGCATTAATCAAGAGGACAGTTTGAACAGGTGCAGGATGTCGGCCATGCTTTATTTGTTTCTGTCATAGGTGGTGCAGAGAGGAAGCAGTTTCCACTTGTGGAATAGTGGCACACCCTAAGAACTTAATGAAAAGTCTCCGTTTCCGTCTTTCATCTGTCTGGTTTCAGGTTAATTCCTTTAGCATTGAAAAATTCTGTGATGGATCAAATGCCTTTCCGGTGCCAATTCTATTACAGCAGGCATCTCCAGCCCAGCCCCTGGAGAGCCTCAGTCAAACACTTTCTATAGAAAACAATTAAACCACCTGTTATTGAAGGCTTGCAAAATTTTAATATCAATCAGTTGAGGGTGAATTGTTAAATACGTGAAAAATCATTTGGAACAGAAATTGTTAGCCATCTCGTACCAGAGTTCCTTTAGTTGAGCACATTTCTTGCTTTATTGCTAATCTCTAAAATGAGATGGTTGATGGTTAAGGGCCACCTACTGTATATATGGAATTGGATTGAGGTTCTCTAGGACCAGGGTCGTAAACTCCTGCTTCATACTTCTGGAAATAGAAGCAAGAAATGATCAAATAAATAAAACAAAAGTAAACAATAAATGCAGAGCAAAGCAGTCCATTGTTGGTTTGGGGAGAGCTTTAAAAGCTACCACTTTGCTGCTGTAAATGTAAATCGGTGGGCCAGTAGGCGGCACTCTTCCCCCTGACGAATTTCCAAATCAAGGTCTCACTATGGTGATAGGCGATGTTGTGCCGCAGGACACACCATCCTTCAGCTGAGGCATTAACTCAAGGTCCTGGCTGCTGTACTGGTTGTTAAAGATTCTGTGATAATATTCATTAAGAGCATGGCCCTTAACCATCTGTGCTTGTACATGCTGGCCTCCCTAAAGTCCCCCTTAGGTCAATTGGTGTAGATATTCCTCACTTCTCCACTTCTCCACCTGACCTGCTGGTGCACAATGGCTGTTATATGACACCCAGGTACTGTAGGTACTGCACTTCACTGATGAATGCAGTGGATTTCCTCCTTAGTATTACTTACTATTTTCATGTTCTCACTGTGTGTTACTAGTGTGGCCTAATAATGTGTTACAGACTTGTATTGTTTCCTTGTTTTGTCATTTAGTGAAGCCATTACCTGCATGTCAAGTTAAATGTGTCTGGAATGGCATCTTTTCTTGCCACCTTGATACTTGGTGAATCTCTTGTTTCTTTCCAGTGTAAGTCTAAGTGCTAGGGGTGTGCTCATGACCGTAGCAACTTTTTAAACAGAAAACACAATTCGATTAATGGCAGTTATGTCGATTAAGAATCATGTCGTTGTTACAGTGACATAAACTTTAACTCAAGAAGTAGATTGTACTGAAGAAAAAAATGAATGCTGTGCAAAATGCCTGGAAGAAAGTGACAAAATGGTCTAATTAGTAGACCATTTGGCGATATCTTCAGCTGCCCTTAAAGAAGATTGCGTTAGTGAACAGCAAGACAAAATTTAGGATGTAATTTTCCAGTCTGTTTGAGATGACCACAGTAATTAAGAATTTAAAGCAAGCTGGCAGAACGCCTCCAATCCATTGATAGGGGATCACATACTGTAATAGAGTTCATTGCTTTATTACCAAACTGTCCTCTATTTGTCTTTCCCTTTGCAATAAAAAGTATCTCTATCAACACTCTGTACCTACATTTCTGTGTGTGGAATAAAGGCAAGCAATAATGATACACAGTACTGGAGATATGAATTGTGAAGTCCTCTATGACAGTAAAATTATTACGATTATTATTACTTATTACAGTGAGATCCTCCTTTATCATCTCAGATCATCAGATAGAGAATTTATGCTGAGGAACTTGATGTCCATTTTGTAGGGTTTACTTCTTGAGTTGCTTCTGTTATCAGTTGTTCCTTTTTCATGAACCCCCCTCAGAGTCCCTTGTAAACCTATTCAGACCCAGCTGCCCATTCTTTAAATGTAATATTTTATTCAAAATCTGAATACTCGGACTGAATACTTCTAAGGGTAAGGCAAAAGAAATGCCAGTTGATTTATTTAAATTTGGAATGATCTCATGCATTTAATCTAATTAAAAATTCAAAACAAAGCTGCGATACATTCTCCTCTTAAAAGGACGTTTAATTATTGCTAATATATAGCGATAATGAGAGGTACAGTGGTCAGCATGTTGTATGTTCTCCCCATGTTTACATGGGTTTCCTCCAGCAAACTTTTTCCTCCCAACATGGGTTAATCCATCAATATAGGAGTTGTCTTCATTAACTAAAACATTATTGATATCTATCCATTTGTCAGTGTTCTCCACATACAGTATTTAAAGCTCCTCAGTTGTATCACTGTCTATACTTATGTAGAGTTTGATTACTAAATAATTCAGTTTATTATTATTATTTTTATTATTAGCATTTGTATAGTGCTTTATCATCCCACATATACTAAAGTGCTTTACAAATAGGAAGAGACACACCCCATCTACCACTGAAGCGAGGGATCCACACGGCCATTATGTGTCAGCAGTCCCACTACACAGCAGGTCAGGGAGAAATTGGAAATAACTTAACTGTTGCACCATAGTCTTCTTTAGATGTCTCCCAGCCCAGTGCCGATTTAGGTAACATTGCATTTTTACACAAGAGCTCTTTGTCTGTAATGTAAAATTTGTTTAATGTGCCCACTTTTTTCCCCCTGTAGTTCATCTATTAGAAGATCAGAACGTTTTTGTGGTGGCAGTCACTTTCCAAGTTGTAAGGTTTTCAGAGTTCAGATCTGCAAAGCTAACCTATATTTGAGAAGGTTTAGCTCCGAAGCTTTAAATGAAATTCAAATGAAGAGCCTGATTCATTAACACTGCTTTCATAGGAATGCAGTATTCCTCATTATAGGCAATAAAGAAAAACAAATTTTTAATATTGCAGTTTGACAGACATGCCCGTGTTTTATTTTTGCCACAGCACTCCTTGACCAGAGCCATAACCCTGTCTGCTACTCATCATATTTTCCAAAATGTCTTGTCCAGCCAAGTAAAACTGGCTGGACTGTTATTGGACCACACACCTTAATCAGAAAGAACTCTCATCCTTCACTGTAGTTGCACTGAATGTTTTTTCCTGGTGTTCAGAAATAAATCCCTTAATTTAATTTGATGCTTGCTGATCATCTGTTGTTCCCAAACCTTCCTGCCGTCATTCCTCATGATATTTACAATGTGTAACAGATTTGTTTTTTGTTATGGAAGATTGGCTTTAAACCAATACCTATTTTGTTGCAGAATTCAGAATGGGCTCTTTTTCATCCATTCAGTGTATTTAAGCTAGAAAATATCTGAATAGAATGACATGCGTTCTATAGTGCTAGTCACGAAAGTGCTAAGCTAGCCAAGGCAGAGTTAGTTTTGCTTTTCAAAGCCTTTTTTGTCCTGATAGTTTGTGCTTTTGAATCCATTTAAAATGAGCATTCTTCCTTATTTATGTAGGTTTATATTGGAATCCCTTTTTCATCTTCCATTCTCCTATTTGGGGAATATCTAAATGTTAATCAGCTCAGATATAGTGGTACATATTTTCTGCTTCAGGAATACGCAAACTTTCATGTCATTTTCACCTTCCAAGTCCTACAGTGGCCACAGTAAAGTTAGTGTGGATTGGTGGAGTCCCTCCTTGATCAGGAAGCTAATTTTCTTTCCATTAATTGCCATACACTATTGGTTAGCTCTATTAGTTAGTTAAGGAGTGCTGGAAAAGACTCTGGGCCCTGTACAGGAACTAAGGAGGAAAAACCTGTTCCTTTGAGCTCCTGTGGAGGACTGGACAACTGCAGTTTCAGAGCCAGGCCAGGAAAAAGAGACATGGACTACAACAAGTAGTAGGGCTTGGAGGAACTCTCTTGTTGTTCAAATCCAGCTCCAGCAACCAGTTGCATAGTGAACGGATTGAAAAGGACAATCACCTATTTAAGTTTTTTTTTTAATGAGTAGAGATTTTATGTTTTGTTAGAGTGTTTACTCATGGAAAGAATGATGTATATTGTGCAATAATAAAATAATAAAAAATAATTTAATAATAAAAAAAATAGTTCGATCTCTGCTAGAAATGACGTGTATTTTGTGTTCAAAGGGTTGATGGATCCCAGTGTCCAGGAGGGTGAAGCCATCTTCAGCAACCTTTAATTTCTTTTTGTCTTTTGTCAACATGTTTGGAATACCTATTTGAATACTTGTCAAACATCTTGCAAAGTGACAAGCTTGTTTTTTTTATGATCAGTAGCTGTGTCAAACCTGCTTTGGTTATCCTTATGGAAAAGAATGGCATAAAAGAGGATGCCATAGTTTCCTTCTTCCTTTTTAATATACATTTGGAATGTCAAGTTTAGCTTTATCCACATATTTCTACCCAGTTTGGAATGCTCAATTCCAGGTTTAACTGTCTGCTTCAAACCACACGTGAGCAAAGGAAATTAAACACAGATGAGCGTCCACAGTCTCATTGCATACTCAGGTCCTCTTTTTCACCTAGGGAAGCGAATCAGTGGGGGTTTTGTTGAATCATTGAGTCCTAAAGGACTGAAGTCGGAGAGTTCTTACTGCCAGGCTGCAGTGGGGAGGTACAACTCAGCAGGAACACTATAGCTTTTAGTTTTTAATTGTGTTTCCTAAATGTATTTTGTTAAAATGCAGACTGCAAACAATAAAAAGGTCTTAGCTGCATGTAGTCTAATATAAAACACAAAAAGAGTATTGACATTGGTAGAAGTTTTCAACATTTCCAAGGTGGTATTTAATACAGAAAAGACACTAAATCACAATATACCCGCGTAGCTGCTACCAGTTAATCTTCAGGAATTACTTTGGAATGACTGGAAAACCAGCTCTTTTACCAACATTTATTGCTCTAGCTGTTGAGCTCACATTTTATTCAATATTGGAGCTTTGTGAAATCACCTTATTGGCCATTTTCAAAAGCGTAGAAACTGGTAATAATCATGAGACCTGTGATGTATTGGAGTGAGCCTCCTTTTTTACAGGTCTGTGAGCTGTTATGTCTCTCTGTTTGATTTAGGCTGTCCCATGTGCTGCATTTTGATGAGCAAACCAGAAAAGTGAAGGATGCAAACATGCAAGATGAAGACACATTTGAAATCTATGACCCCCGCAACCCCGTCAACCAGAGAAGAAGAGAAGAAAGTAAAAGGATAATGAGGCAAAAGAAAGAAAGGAAGTGAAGTGCTGAAGTATGATGAACCATTTGGTCAGTCTGCTATATTTTCCCAAGTACACCCCAGTAGCTGAGTTCAGGGCATCTCCTTTAGCTGGGTCTCTTTGCAAAATCCTTAATATGTAATATTGTATCGAATCGGAATAAACTTAAATTCCTGCAAAAATAAACTGTTTTATTTTTTGAACTGAAAGTATTTTAATATGAGTGAACACGCTGGAATTGCTTGGCCAACAGTTAAGCAAAGCTGTTAAATTAATTGGATTCTTACCACCGGTTTATGGATTATTTCCACGAGTATATACTCAAACTAATGCCCCAAATCAGGCAGCATTTTAACTGTGTAATTTTCTAAGTTGCCACCAATTACTACGCAAATGTTTATTGATGTATTTTTTGTAGCTTTCAGCTGTGTGTCGCCCTGTGTACTGTGTGGGTTGCATTCGCTGAGCAAAACTATGCATTAGGGTGATTGTGTTTGTATTTCCTATGCATTTATAAAAATTAAAATCACCAGACAAAATGAAGTAGTGTACAGTATTTCTATAGCTGACCAGCTGCAAGAAAAGGCAATCCCATCATGAAATAAGAACAGGCTTTTCCATTGCTGGAAGTCTATAAATACTGTACATTATTATTCCCACACATTCCCTACCTGCAGCAGAAGAAATCCACAAGACATTCGTCTTGCCTCTGAAGCCTTCCCTGCATTATTAAAATATTTCATCTGTTTCTGTCAGAAATGTCTGATCTTCATGATGTAATTAATGTGAAAGGAGGAAGGACATGTCACAATAAATTCCAGTCTTAATCTAAGCCTTTGTCGTTCTCTTCTTTTTTTTTTCCTAAGAAGATAACGTTTTCTTGGCAAGGAAAGCATCAGTACTACATGGCAGTTCCCTCATCATTCTTTTACACAACTGAATTGCTTTGATCGTCAGTGCAATCAATATTCTGCTGTGGGGTCCTCTGAAGGACAGAATCTTCCATTGACCTTTGAAACACCTTAATATGCCATCTGTTTGTCTGTCATCT